CGAACGCTTTAACCACTAGGCTAGCCCATCGCCCCTTCTTGTTTGGAAATTTTAAAGCTGAAGTGAGATGTTTATTATGAATTACGAAGTGCATGTGCACCATGCATTTGCAAATACCAAATAATCCTGGTTACTGTTTGTGAAGACGATGACATACAGATTAAGTGACATATCCTCCTGCATGTATTGTAGGTCAGAGAAGGTCGGTACTATCTCATGCTGTCACATATCAGGGATCTGACATTCAAGCTCTGTCTGCCTTCGCTAATATCATGTCTTCATAACCTTCCAGTCTGTGTTGTCAGTGGTACATGGTACTTATAGCCATGCTTAAAATAACAGGAACATTAGTGACCGTGGCATAACACAACATTTGATCACAAAAATAATAACATATGCTCCATATACTCCAGCGATATTGATCAAGTATTGTGATATCAGTAAGAGTGAGTGAGTGAGTTGGCTTTTACCCCGCTTTTAACAATATTCCAGCAATATCATGGCGAGGGCACACCAGAAATGGGCTTCACACATTGTACCCATGTGGGGAATTGAACCTTAGTCTTCGGCATGACAAGCGAACACTTTAACTACTGCCCCATATCAGTAACACCTAATGACTGCACACTCTCATTTCTGTAACCAGCTGCTACAATGTGATAGAAACTCACAATTCAACCATGTCAGCAAAACCAAGAAGAACAAGCGTATATTTATGTTATTATGCCACTTTTACCTTAATTAAAACATCACCACATCAGGAGACACCAGAAATGGGCTTTACACGGTGTATCCATGTAAGTGATCAAACCTAGGACTTTCTTGCAACAAGCGACCTGTGAAGATCCGGGGTAGAATAGGTTTTCAGTAACCCATGCTTGCCACAAAAGGCGACTATGCTTGTCGTAAGAGACAACTAACGGGATCGGGTGGTCAGGTTCGCTGGCTTGGTTGACACATGTCATCGATTCCCAATTGCGCAGATCGATGTTCATGCTGTTGATCACTGGACTGTCTGGTCCAGACTCGATTATTTACAGACCGCTGCCATATAGCTGGAATATTGCTGAGTGTGGCGTAAAACTAAACTCACTCACTCACTCACTCTTGCAACAAGCAAACACTTCAACCACTAGGCTACCCCACTTACATGTGATGACACAGTTAGGTCTAAAGGACCACTACATACTGATACAATGTATTCATGCTTTCAGAGACAATTCATGAGAAATGCATAAAGTAATGCTAAATATGTTTGTAGTAGTAATGTTCCAATAAAGAAACTGGCAGAAATTCTGTAAACCTTTGCCATAAATATATGCTCACATGAGATTAACAAAATTAATTACACATTTAGGAGATAATTCCCAAAAAATTATAAATGTTTCATATTCCTTGATTCCAGTTTCATCAATTATGAACATTTCCTGCTACCTCTACTCATCACCTCCATTCCCAACACTACACTCAGAATGAAAATATTCCAATCCATTATCAGAAATCTTGCAAAGGAGTAATGCTTAACGAAAATGACATATCTGCTGGCTGTCGCCATCTTGTTCTGTACAGAAGATCTAGTCAAATCTATTTACTCAATCTTCTTGAAGGGCAGACCTATTTTGGGCATTCCATGTGCCTTGGAATTGGTCGACAGCGCCAATTGCCCAATCTCGTGCAGAATATCAGTGAGCGTTTACAGCATGCGAAAGTGGAATCGGATCTCAAAATGACAAAGTCATCCTCCTGGTTCCACTCTTTATTCAAAAGAGATGCTCTCAATTGATGACGGAGAAATTGCCCCATGAGAAGAATCAGATATATATGATACTACTGCAAATTCTTATGGTAAAATAATTCATGAAGTACACAACTTTCTGATTGGAGGCTGAAACATGAACTACAAAATAACTTGCTGAACCAAACTGACTGCAACTTGGTATATTTTTTCAGAGGCATGACTGAGCTGTCTGCAAAACAAGATGACACTCAGAAAGGCCTGAGTAATTATTTTGGAATAACGTCGTCTCTTTAAGACAAACTAACAGGCATTTAGGTATAAAGATTAGGTGACTGTCTGAGGGGACCTATATTGTCTGAGGTGATCCTGAGGCTTATTTGACCACAGTACTATCTGAGGTGACCCACTTACTGATGTGTTCTGTAACGTCTAAAGTGATTTGTATAGTCTGATGGTACCTTTTTCATCTAAGGAGATATGTTTTGTCTGAGGTGACCCATATCATGTCATGTAATCCATTCCTGAAATGACCTAGACTGTATTGTCTAAGGTGACCCATATTGTCTGAAGTGACTTGTATTCTGAGGAGAACATTCCGCGATGAACCTACGGTCTGTGGTGACCCTACATTCTGAAGTCATCTGTATTGTCTGATATGAATGGTACTGTCTGGGATGACCCCAGTAAGTGATGTGATTATCCTGTCTGCGGTGACCCTACATTCTGAAGTCATCTGTATTGTCTGATATGAATGGTACTGTCTGGGATGACCCCAGTAAGTGATGTGATTATCCTGTCTGATATGAATGGTACTGTCTGGGATGACCCTACATTCCTGAAGTCATCTGTATTGTCTGATATGAATGGTACTGTCTGGGATGACCCCAGTAAGTGATGTGATTATCCTGTCTGCGGTGACCCTACATTCTGAAGTCATCTGTATTGTCTGATATGAATGGTACTGTCTGGGATGACCCCAGTAAGTGATGTGATTATCCTGTCTGCGGTGACCCTACATTCTGAAGTCATCTGTATTGTCTGATATGAATGGTACTGTCTGGGATGACCCCAGTAAGTGATGTGATTATCCTGTCAGCGGTGACCCAAATCATCTTAGAGTCCAATATCATCTAGGACCCCATGCTGTCTGAGGTCACCTTCCCAGATAGCTTTCGGACGTTGGCCCAACGTTGGCAATGTTGGCAAAACCATTGCCAACGTTGGGCCAACGTCTGAATGCTATCTGGGTTACTGTCAGTAATGACCTGTACTGAGTGAAACTTACTTTTTGAGGGGAACTTTAGTAACAGGAGACAAACGGAACACATATAATTCTAGGACAAGCCACATTCACAAAATGATATTAATCAAGCATTTAATGGATCAGGGGTGGAAATAACCCATTGCCTGACGCCCGAGTCCAGTGTTTATTTCTGTCGGGCAGGCCAATTTGTATATCACACTATACCGGTGTCCAGTTGACTTTCCAATGTTAATGATGTATATTTTAAAAAATCAACAAGAAAACGGCCAGTATAGTGGAAAAATTATCAGGGCAAGTGATTTTACATGTGCCACTGTACCGGAGTACACTATTAATTTTAAAGTTATTTCCACCCCTGTGGATGAAAATCTAATAACCAATTTGTCCTAGCCTAACCAACACCCTACCTCATTTACACATGGTTGTTAATCTTAAGCATAAGTTACCTTGCAACACCAGGATGATGAAACAAGATTCTTCTTGATTGCCATCTAAACAATCTTAACAAAACAATTTCCTGCAGGCCTAAATCCCTAACATGTGAGTTGTGCAATAGCTGTGTAAATGACACCAACCACCATTGCCTCTAAACACTAACCCTTCTGCACACAAGCCCATTGGGGAAATCTTCCTCACTCAAGATACAACATGGCTTTTATTTTTGGCTCATTGACCATAGGCTCCCTGCTGTTGAAGATAACAGGTCTGAAGTGCATTGATTAAGCCTACTCTTGCAAACCCTGTCTGTTAATTTCTCACAGGAATAAATGAAACTGCACTGTGAAACTCTCCCTGTCTGGAAGTGATGTATTAACACCCCCGTCTGAGGAGCATGTGCTTTGCTTTCAGTTTGCAACAGTTCATTTCCTGATCATACATAGATGTTTCAACATATCAGAGCTGCTGGAGTATTGGTAGATGAATACACCGAGGCTCTAACCTATATTGTTAGTTGTCAGGATCGAATAGTGTCTGTTCTTCCAGTTTGGTTTCTTTCTCACGACCCCTAATGCCAACACCAATACCAATACATGTTCAAAATTATCTCCATTAGGTATAATATAGTTTATCCCTTCAAGGTAATTCTCTAACTATCTAACTTATCTAGATCAGTTGGACTGTCTGACTGAGTATGGATTTATGCCATTTTTAGCAATATTCCCGCAATATCACGGCGGGGACACCAGAAATGGGCTTCACAAATTGTACCCATGAGGGGAATCGAACCCGGGCCTTCGGCGTGAGGAGCGAACAATCTAACCACTGGGCTACCCCACCGCCTCAGATCAGTTGGAAGAACATATAGCTATTTAAATGATTTATTAAGTACCCAGTTTTGTAAAAGCATCATTAGTTCTATCTGTCTGAACATTTGTTGAAGTGACTGGTCCATCACTCTCTACAACATCAAAGGGGCACTAATTGCACAGTTGAAATTCTTCAAAGGCATTTAGAAGATGGTGTAGTAATACATTATTCATCTGAACAAGGGGCAAGAGCTAGCCCGGAAACGTTGTGAGAAACAAATACAGAAGTTGTGATTCATATATTTGTCTTGTATTATATTGCACAGCTGTATAACTCATGCAACTTGTGTAGAACTGTGACTCTTGAAACTACACATAGCCACTTGATTTAAACTCCCTATATAGCGCCTATCTAAATAAAACTGTTATAAAATAAAGAAGGAATGCAGTAAGGCCTTTCAAAATCAAACCCATTTTGCTTAACATCTGGTTTTAGAATATGTAATAGTCCCATCTAAAACCTGGCATAACTCAACAGGCAAGTTGTCTAAATCAACATGTTCTCAATGTCTTGAGTTAAAAGAGCTTCACTGCATATATAACTCAGATTGAGACCTCACATGTGTTGATTTTAGATAAGTAGAATTTTACATAATTTCCTAAATATTTCAGTAATGATGGTTAGAGTGGAGGAAACCTCAGCCCCCCAAGCCCCTCCTCCCACCTTGTGGAGTGTGTGTGCACCACCTACCTCTGCATGTTGTCCAGGGGTGAGGACCTTCCCACACTCCTTGCACCTCAGACAGTTGGGATGCCAGTCTCGCCCCAGAGACGTCTTGCGCTCCGCTGAAACACACAAATATACAGTCAGCATTTTGGTAGAAAAACATGGATTCTTACTTTAAAAAAGTACTTTCAACATTTTGGCAGAAAGCTTGGTCTCATTATGAAACAACAACAGTACTGTCATGTTGTTGACAGAAAATATGGCCTCTTGGACGATGGCCTTATTCTAATCCATTCATCCCACCTACAAAGTGAGTGAGTGAGTTTAGTTTCATGCTGATTTGAGCAATATTCTGGCAATATCATGGTGGGGGACACCAGAAATGGGCTTTAAACATTGTACCCTTGTTGGGAATCGAACCTAGGTCTTCGGCGTGAGGGGCGAGGATGAGCTACCCCATCGCCCCTTCCCATCTACAAAGAAGAAGTTAACGCCTTGCAAGTCTTATCTTATGGGGGTATATGCAGTGTCGAGTGGGAGTAGAGGCTCAAACCCTGACCAGAGTTTCCACACAGACCCTTTGGCCTTTGTTACAGTAACGTAAACAATGAAAGTGCTCCAGGGGAGTACATGAAGATGATGACATTTTCAATTTAATTTCTTCACAAACATGATCACATTCCTTAAACATATTCTGAATATCAATTTCACAATGTCAGCTAGGTTGCCATGGCAGCTGACACTCATATGACAATGGTTACATGTATTTTCAGTTGCTGTTGACCCCAGTCTGTTAACCCCAGTTCATCTTCTTAAGTACCAAATAAATGCTATAACATACCCCTTCCTTTCCCTAGTCATATAATAAATTAGGTGGCCTTTCACTCCTGTTACAGGTAGGGTTAACCCTAACAACAGCAACAAGACATTAAACCAAACAGTATCATTATGTTTAAAAGCATGGAAAGTACTCAGACAGTTCTGTCAAATAAACCAACAGCCTGTGAAGCAAGACTAAGTGTTTACTGTACACAGAAAGGAACACCTTGTGACATGTTACATCACAAGCTTGAATTATGAACACTTCACTAAAGGAATCCCATGATTTGCCCTACATAGCTTAGACCTATAGAGGTCACATTCCAGTAACACATATACCATCATGGTTGACTAACTGGACTGACAGCAAGATCAGGTTCCACTTGTGACTGTGTGGCTTGCTACTTATGTGTGTGTTTGTTTGTACTTTAATGCCTCGATCAGAAACATTCAAGTGACACCATGGCGGCCTGTAAAGATTCAAGTTTGGGTCAGACAAACCAGTGATTCATGTTATGAGCAATATCCCCATGTTGCAGGATGAGGACATGTAACTAAGGAAGCTAGAGACCAGTTCTAAGGAGTAGTCCCTCCAGAGTAGAGTCTGCAATTTGTTATACATTCGTACATTAGTGAGTATAAATTTTACATAATAGGGTATATCACAACCTGTTTAATGTGGATTGGATATCCAAAGTCTGATCTGTTAATCACTTGTGAAAAGATCATGCTATGGCACATCAGGAATGCAAACCCATAATCAGCAAATCCTGGCAACAGATAAAAGGGACATAACTCTGCATTGCAAAATGTGAAACCGTATACTGCTATGCATCAGTCATACAAACCAAAACTCTGTCATAACTCTTTCTCTGAAGGAAGTTAGGCAGAAAAACTATAAACTTTCAGTTTCAGGTTTTTGGTTTAAGCAATGTGTTGTTTCCTGGTAGGTGTTCCCCATAGGACCATCATAAGTGCATGTTCAAGTACGGGAATACTGACAGTCAGTGATTACAATATGGACTACAGCCATAATTCAGCCATGTTGAGCAGGTCCTGGACACGATGTCCACAGCAGTGATATACTCCTACCTGAACAATGACAGTTGCTATGTCTGTGTCATACGAAAAACTCCATCAAGCAAGGCCCTTCTGCACTAAGCGACCCTGACAGTCATATGCTAGTGTTGAAGAGTTGTGATCATCTTAGAGCCTAGATTTATTGAGTCTGCGCTGGGTTCAGGACAGTAGAACAGACTTAAATTGTCAAAACTGACACAGGATCTTGTTAACAAATCCTTGTTACAGACTACATGTACCCAGGGTGGGCATTAAAGCAGTAGTCATCCTGAAGATGGTGTTTGTGGATTAAGGGGATAAAAAGAAATTTCATTGTACATATTAGCAGCACATTAAAAGCTACAAGCTTATAAGTATATGATGTAAGTAATATATTTTACCAAAATCAGATACTTAGCTCAATTTGTTCATCCTTAGACTGAAGCTGTTCTATATACTCAATAGGAATTGTCAAAACAACAATTTTTTGCACCATTTTGAATTAGGAAAACATGTAAAAGATAAAAAAATAAAAATTAACACCAAGGTTTCAAATATTTCATAATATTTTTGTTTTTAAGTATCTTGTTTATATAGTTTCTTCTTATTGACTACAATAAAACTTGATTTCAAATCATGCAGATACTGAACCTATAGTAACAGCTTCTCTTCACACCCCCTGCCAGGGGATGTTATTATTATCCTGCTCCCAGAATGAGTATCTCTGACCAACAAGCATTGAACTGTTCCACAATGCAACCTCCCCATTCATAACCCTGTCAGTAATCAATGGCGGCCTTGGTCTCCTTGAGAAACAAACACATGGGACATGACAATCTCTAAGTGTTACAATTGATTGTGACATTATCTCTTCCCGCATGGCAGCGAGCAGACAGGCTTCTGGTGGAGTCAGCCATTGACACTGTGCACTCCTATGTGGTTCAGGCTGGGGCTTACCACAACCGTTTTTGGTTGATGTCAACCACAGAGCAAAATGATGAGCCATGTGACAGAAGCTTCCAGACAAAAACATAACCCTTAAAGGCATTAAGAGAAACAAAACAAGGGCATGGATATACCAGCAAGCAAGATAATTGATAATGTTCATTTATAGTGCACATATATTTAAGGGTTAGAAGAAGTAATGTCACACTTTTTTATTTAATGGTTTACAGATTGTAGAGAACCTATTATTAACTTGAGTGAGTGAAACAAAAACACATGTACATGTAAATTTTTGTAGGTTTATATTTTAAGGATTTATATTTTAAGCCAGATGCCTTCTTATAATGGTAGGGGGGTATCATGCCAATATGCAAGCAGAATTTTCATATTATGTCATAAAACTGTGCGATGGGAAAGCATGTATTGCAAGGATGTATTGCAATATATTTCAAGTAAGTATTTTCTTTTCTTTAACAAAAAATATGTATAATCGAGTTAATGCTTCATTTATAAAGTAAAAATACAACAAAATCACAATGCTTGATTAGGCGTTAATAAAAACTTTTAATCATGACAAAATAAAAATGTAAATAATGTTTGGCACAAATGAAACAAGGAAAGGAACAATTTAAAAAACGGAAATATCTGAAGATTTCCGAGTGTTACGAAGTTTTCCAAATGCATGTCAAAATACCGGTTTTCGATCAGCGTATCGCAATACGTATCGTTTTCATGTCTGAACCGGTAAATACCAGTAAACCGGTTATATTGCGCAGCCCTACTTATTGGACAAACTTGCAAAACAGTATCATAGGAGAAGTGCATGCATTTGTTGTGATGAAATGTAAACTAATACCAACTATAACTGAAGCATTGACCATAAAGACTGAGATATCACACTGGAGACTCTCACATCAACAGAAAACCAACACATCCTTGTGTGACTAAATCTAAATAAGCAGGGCTGGAATTTGGTACAAGTACTTTCTCCTCTGCATCTCATCAGCTAAAAAACGTAACACATCCTTGTGAGTATAGCTGAGGGACAGGGTAAAGAACTTCCTTGTTAGCTGACCAATGTCTTAAGATAGCTCACGTTTTCTTTTTAAATGAACAATGTCTGGTATCTCTTTGAATCCAGGTGGTAAGGTAACTCTTAAATCTGACCTTTATATGCTCTGCTTTGATGGTCACGACTTTGAAAACTTACAACAAAATGTCATCTTTTTTCATCATCTCATGAGTAAACTGGAACAATTATCTTCAACACAGATAAGAAAAAAGCATATGACTTTAAGGATAAAAACTTCTTGTTTATTACATAGAGCAACGTTTCAGTGTAGATTCTTACACTGTTTTCTTACACTTTTAGTTTGAAAAGGGTGTAAGAATCTACATCGAAACGTCGTTCTATGCAATAAATAAGAAGTTTTTATCCTTAAATCATATGCCTTATTATTGACTCACCAACTTCTAGAATGCTGATCAAACTTCAACATAAACCCATTTCCAATCACCTTTCAAACAAGATTAAAGAGGGGTTGTTTTTTAACTTTTTTAGTATCTGAGGTGGGTTCAGACCCACTTTGAACAGTATTCCAGTTATATCGCTGAGTCAGCTGTGGCAGAAAAGCCAGAAATGATACAGGTCCCATACATTTACCCCATTGGTGAAGACCAAGCACACAGGTATGGTGCTGAGAGTGAGTGAGTTTTGCATCGCTTTTAGCAATATTTCAGCCATATCACGGTGGCGGGACAGCAGAAATGGGCTTCACACATTGTACCCTATGGCACTGAGAAGTAGGGCTGTGCAATATACCCGGTTTACCGGTTCAGACATGAAAACGATACATATTGCCATACACTGATCTAAAACCAGTATTTTGACTTGCATTTGGAAAACTTTGTAACACTCGGAAATCTTTGGATATTTCCTTGTTTCATTTGTGCCAAATATTATTTACATTTTCATTTTGTCATGATTAAAAGTTGTTATTAAAGCTTAATCAAGCATATTGATGGTGTTGTATTTTTGCCTTATATATCAAGTATTAACTTGATTATAAGAAGTTTTTTGTTTAAAAATACTTCTTGCAATATATTGTAGTACATATCGCAATATATGCTTTCACATCGCGATATATCGCAATATGAAAATTTTCTGCAATAACCACCACTACTGAGAAGCCAAACCTGGAATCGAACTCATGAGCACAGTTTTCTGACATGCTCAAGGGATGAATTTCTGCTCAGCATATCGGCATGACTGGACGCTCCTTGTCGTTCTTACATT